GCCGCAGCTAATGAAACCATAAGTCAGCCGGAGACACACACGCACACAACCATATAAACACACACCACTGCAGCAGAACCAACCAAGCAGTGAGAAAAATGAAGGGATGGTGAAACAGTGTTACAGAGAGAATGAAAAAGAAAAGAGGTTTTAGAGAAGGAGGATGGAAACAGTTTTGGTTTGTGTGTGTGTGTCTGCTCTGCCTTCTGTCTGTGTATTGTATCAGAACCATAGTGCACAGTACATAATGACTCACATGGTACAAATATGACTGGATGTCACACACGGTGTGCTTGATTTGCAAAATTGAGATTCAACTGGAAAAAATTCTGAAAAGTACACAGAAATAAACTGGCCTAGGATCAGCTTCTTAACAATGTGTGTGATCAAAGTTACACATCCAATGATCATTTATATTTATGATTAACTGTAGACCTATGTTATTGGAATATCAGCAACAAAATCATTATCATGAAGATTCTCTTGATAATTGTTTCAGCATGTACAGGAATTACATAAAGCCTTGATGACTCTTCTCATTCAAAATGGCAGCAGTAAAATAATAATCCTCCACCACTTCATGGTCCGACAGGGAAACATTGCATCAATATTACAAATCACTTACTTGCAGATAATTAGCAGACATGTGACCTGTCCAGGGTGAACCCCGTCTCTTTCTGAATATGAGCTGGGGAAACTTGATTCCCCTGCAACCCTGTGCAGAATAAATGGGAAAATATAATGCATGGATTGATGGATGCAGATAATCAACTGTTGATCCCTTAGCTAGTAAAGCTTTCTTATTACTTTCAAATTCAAGACTGCCCTCTAACACAACTGAGCAATGATATCTTTAATTGCATTTTTTAAAACTAAGTGTGATGGCTTTGGATACATGGGGAAACATGTTTTTGATACAGAACTATAACTTTGCTTGGTTTAATTACAGATTTCATGATACTGTAGGCTATACAATGAGCAAAGTTTCAGAACAGTCAATGACAAAAAAAGCCAATAGCCAAGGAACGGATATTTTGCTGCAAGAATGTCTTGGACAGCAGATGTGACTGTGAAATGTTTGACTTGCTAACGTTGTGTTGTATGTTGAGGCAGGATGGCCTGTAGTTTACAGAGATAATCCCACAACCAGGAAGTCAGAGGTTCAATCCCCACTGCAGCTTTAAGCATCCTCGACAAAGCTACTAAAGAAATACTCTAAACTTCTCCTCTCACTACTGCTGCTGAAGCTTGTTCACTTTCAACTCACCTCTCCCCGTCTCTCAGTCTTTGTGCTGTGATGTGCCTGGTGGCAGGGTGTGCCTGGAGGCCAGCGAATTTGGTTAAAAATTCTTCCTTTTAAATTCCCTGCCTTCTGCTTAAAGCGCTTGTGCAGAGAGGAGAGAGAGAAAGAGAGAGAGACAGAGAGAGATAAAGAGATTGCTCGAGGCAAAGCAGCTTCACAGAGAAGTGAAGGCCTGCAGTCTTCTCACTTCTCCTCGTCTCGTATTCTTTGTCCTCTTCTGCTTTCATTACTTTTTTCTTTCCTACTCCTTTCCTTTCTTTTCCACTTATATCCCCGTATTTTGTCAATTTTAGCTCATCATTTTGTAAAAGTTAATCATGTTACTGGGGTCCATCCTCTAAGATAAGTGAATATCAAATACAGCACTCGAGATTAGAAGTTAAAACCTTTGTGACCTTAATGGAGTTAAGCCATGGTTCCTTTATCAGCATACAAAAAACTACAGTTACCATGGAAATTTCACAGTGTGTGAAGTCATCGTAGCTTGGCTTCTTCCATATCATGTTGTTAGCTGTGATTTTGACCAGATGAGAATAGTTGAGATTCGGGACAGGTGAGTTGAGGGTTGACGTGGCCTACAGTACTTTCAGTAAAAAACACTTAACACTAAATTATTAAGTCATTATTTTTGTTTATGAAGTCAACTGTCTGTCATTAGGGAAAAAACACAATTTCAGAGTCTGTTCAATTCAGTTAATTCCACAAGTTGCTGGGAAATTTTTTTTTGTCTTACTTTTGTCTCTTTTCAAAAACACAAAGTGTTCAAAACTATGAACTTTTGAATGGCCTAAATGCCACTGCCATCGTAAACTGCATATGTTGTGTGCTGGAAGGGGCAACAACGGTAACTAAGGCGGTTCAGGCTTAGGAAATGGTCATTGAAATTTTAATAACAAAATACAACCCTGTTGCCATATTTTATTTCCTAGAATATGCCGTGTGTGTGACTCAAAACTCAGAATCTCAGCCAGCAGTATGTTCACCTCTGGTTTAGTACAGGTGAGTGTGTATTTGTGCATGTGTGTGTGCGTGTCTGAGACAGGAGACATTTCCGCTTACTCTGGAAAAAAAGATGTGTGTCCGTGTGTGCATACAGCATGTGGCTGGTATAAGGGGCTTTCCACCTTGAAGACAATTTGCCCTGACAGCACATGTCAATGAAGAAGAGGAGATGGGGTAAAAACAAATACGATGGACGAGGAGGAGGAGGAGGAGGGGAAGCTTGGTGCAGTGCCAACTCTGAGGTCACCTTAATATTTTATCTGCTTCAGTGAATGAAAACATCACCGTACACACATAGAGAAGAGAGATACAATGGAAAAAAGAAAAAAAAATGACAGTAAAAACATTAGTGGAATGAAAAAAGAGATGGAGAGTTATCACTGTCATTAGAAACAAGGTGAAGGATTTCTGTTGGGGAGGCGGCATTATGGATGGTGATGCAAACTGAAATAAACTGGTCTGGAAGGCATCTCTGTTGTAGGAGTTCTCTTGACAGCCTGGAGGAGGTGGCTGGGAGGATGAGGTCCAAAATCAGGACCATACTGGAGAAACCATCTCATCCCCTTCATGAGGAGATGGATGGCCTAGGAAGCACCTTCAGTAACGGTGTCATCCGCCAAGGTGTTCAAAGGAAGGATTCAAGTGTTCCCTTTGAACCAATAGCTATTTTACTATACTATAATGCCTGCGGTAATGCAGTCTAGATGTGGGTGAAGAAAACGATTCTAAGATGCATCGTGATGCGGACGTGGAAGATTCTGACTCGATTAAGAAAAGAAATAGATTATTTAAATGTTAATTGATAACGTAACGTTGACGGAACACAAAAGGTGGAAGTGCAGTGTGGGAAAAGTGAAGGCTGTGAGCGCTAGCTAACATCTCCCCTGTACAGCACGTATTTTGGCTGTTATGTAACATTAGCTAAATTAGTAATAAGTAATATTAATTACTTTAACTGTATGTCATTACTAACTTACCTACTTGTCTGAACGTTGAGAACATCAGGCACAAACTTAGACTAAACTGGTGTACAGCTCTGTCCTGTATACATACTGTACATCCTTATATTTCTGTTCTTAGAGGAGTCTGACAACTGGTTGTTAAAGAAATGATTAGGGATGCAAAGTAGTTCTTTTAAGCTAATTAGGAGATGTTTGGATTTAATGCGTAAATTAAATGCTTAGTAATTATTCAGAGATTTGTTTAAAAAAAAATTATTCATCAAGATGCATCAATAATCGTTTTTATAATCACATCGCACCCCTCTGAATCGTAATCAAATCGAATCGTGGGGTGCCAAGAGATTACCACCCCTACTGCAGTTGCAGCCAACTCTGTGGTCTCTGAGGCCACAGCATGATGGTCACCCTTCATGGACTGTACTGTACCGTACCAACTATACTTTTATGCTATACAGATGCATGCCAATGCACATAAATCTCACATATGTCTATTCTTATAGTATTTGTTTTGTATTCTGTATGTATTCATTATTTATTATTAGCATTTTCTATTCCCTACTTATCTCTGCTGTTGTGAGACTGAAATTTCTTCTCAGGGATAAAAAGAGCTACCTACATACCTAATGGCTGAAACTACAAAAATAATATTAAAGCTGTAATGAAATGGCATCATCCTTTAACCTTGTGCTTAAGATTGTATAACTATTAAATTACAAACTACCTAATGCTGCATTTGTGAGAGCTGCTTGAACTGCCATCAACTGAATGTGATGAACACAAGTATATTATTTACTTGAGTAATAAAGTTGAAGATTAACTTATCTGACAAACCCCATATAGCAGAGCATGGAAAGTGTCTCCAAACACGGTAAATTTAAGGTTTAGTTTAACATAATGATATTACAGAAAACGTTAGCTTTAATACTTATCTTGCCTTACTTACACATGTGTGTTCTTGCAAAGAATTAGACAGGAAAAAGAAGAATATGATCTTGTCAATAAAAGAAGCAGAATTATCCATGAAACTGTATCGGCATGAGAAATTGATCACCTCTGAAACCAGATCGAGCTCCGTGACCACGGCAACACCATGACAACCCTGAGGCCAATCAGCAAATCAGCCACGCAGAGGGCAAACAGACAGACAGCTGATGGACAGACTGATAGGAGAGAGAAAGAGGAAAGAGACAGAGTTAGAGAGATGGAGTGATAGAGTGATAAAGCAATGAAGAAGGGCGTGATAGGAGACAGATACACTGCACAAAAGGAGGAGAGATCTTTGATACAGATGGTAAAGGTAAAGAGATTTTTCCAAATGTGGAAAAAGTTTTTTGCAAGTACATGTATTCTATAGATTAAGTAGTCATGGTGAAGTAAATTATAATACAGAATATATTTAGCCCTGTAAGAGATCTTTAAGGGATCATATCGCTGATATGTGTCTTTGCAATTTGATTCTCATGCCATGCTGGTAGCAACTGAAATCACTGGCTTCCTGAAAGGGTAAATATAAAGAAAGTTGCTTTGGAAAATGTAAGTAGTTTTGCTATTGATGCTGCAGTTATTTATTACTAACAACTTAAAGTTTACAATTTAAAGGCTCCATTCGTGTCATCTATGATTTGATCATTCAGCTGTCATACTATTTGTAATAATAATAATATATTTAACGTATCCAGTGGTGACAATTATGACAATGAGGATTATTTTGGCCTTGATGTGTGTGTGCCCAGGTGCTGTACGAGCCTCCAGTATCTTCCCTATCCTGAGTGTGATCCTGCTCTTCATGGGGGGGCTGTGCATCGCCGCCAGCGAGTTCTACAAGTCACGCCACAACATCATCCTCAGCGCCGGCATTCTCTTCGTCTCCGCAGGTACAAAGGGAAGGAGAGGAAGGAGGCATCACCTTATGAATATGAAAAGCATTATGAGAGTGGTGAGAGTGGACCAAAACAGCAAAGTTGCAGGCCACAAAAAAAAAACAACTATGAGCTGAAAGGCTCTAAAATGATGGGCAGAGCTGAGGGGAACTTTCACTTTCACATCATACATAGTCATTTGACCCATTGTTAATATAAACATATTAATTAGAGCAGCTTTAATTAGAATACAGCAATGGATAAAGCTGCATTTAAGGCTGACTGGAGACAATGCTTCACCCCTTCATCCCGTATGAGTGACGCGTCTGACTATGAAAAAACAAATCTGGACATTGTTATTCACCAGTCACCTATATAAAAGAAAATGAAGGGAAACACTGACGAAAATGAGGCAGAGCTGAGGGGACAAATGAATAAAGAGGTGAGGAAGACACAGGTGACAGCACAGTATCAGAACATTTTGAAGATCACAAACGCCCCTTTACGAAGGCAGGCGAAGCCACGGTGGGACTCGCTGACCACCAGGTGATGTGTTGCGTAGCGGTGGCCATGTGTGTAGCATACAATTGCCTCGGGATGAAGCTAGGGAGAGGTAGCGCAGGTTGCCATTTTGCCAGAGATTTTGTGTTTTTGTGTGTGCATGCATGTGTGTGTTTGTACTCTGGTTCTAGGCCATGGCCTACTGTGCTGCGCTAGATAACTAGTTCCCCTTCAAGTCAGAAGTGAGAGACGCAGTTCCCTCTGTTTCTCTCTCACTCTCTTTCTCGCTGTGTCTGTCTCTCTCGCCCTGTTGCTAGGCTAAGAGGAGGCCACTGGGATTACACTCTAAAAATAAGGTGTCCCTGATACTCTTCTGCTCTGATCCATCTCAATCAGGCCCTCACAGTCCTCACACCCCAGTCTGCTTTTCTGTCACTTTATACAGTATTGTTTTCACTGTTTATCTGCATATTTGTGCTTTTGTCTGTCTGCCCTGGCTGCCAAAGTGATGATGTATGACAAGAACAACATATGATCAAAATAGAGGGAGGGAGAAAAGGAAAGAGAAATGGAGAGAAAAGGTGAGACAGATGAGAGAGATTGGCTGTTAATTTGAACATTGTTGGTAGGAAAAGATGGGGACGGCGAACTACAGAGTTACAAACAAAGATATTCAAATATAAGTAATTAATGTATGGCTGAATCTGCCCCGGTTTGCATCTCAGAGTTCATGGTTAAAATACGTACCTGTTTAGCTAATTTTACATGAATTTGATTTGTTTTAATTCAGAGGGTGTCGACATGAGGTGTGAAGCAGCAGCTGTATCCTCACTTACCTCTTTTTGTAGCTAACTGTATTATGGTTTAATCTAAACAAGATAAGTAGCCTAGTGGTATTTTTTTAATATTTTTTATTTTTTGCTGACAATGATAATAACTGTGATGACTTTGGTTTTTTAGTGTGTGGGCCTATTTGAGAAACAGTTTGGCTGTATTTTAAATTTGATCTCTCATCTTCTTTCCCTGTCTTAGGCCTGAGCAACATCATAGGAATCATTGTGTACATATCAGCCAATGCTGGGGACCCTTCCAAGAGTGACTCCAAGAAGAACAGCTACTCCTACGGCTGGTCCTTCTACTTTGGCGCCCTCTCCTTCATCATGGCCGAAATGGTGGGCGTGCTGGCCGTGCACATGTTCATCGACCGCCATCGGGAGCTGCGCGTGGGGGCGCGAGCTGCCGACTACCTCCAAGGTGCGGCCATCACGCGCATCCCCAGCTACCGCTACCGCTATCGACGCCGCTCACGCTCTTCGTCACGCTCTACAGATCCCTCACACTCCCGGGAGGCATCACCGGTGGGCCTGAAGGCCTTTGGGGCACTGCCCTCCACCGAGCTATCCATGTACACGCTACCCAAGGGCCAAACGGGCACCCCGACAGCCACCTATAACTCCACGGAGAGGGACCACAACTTCCTGCAGGTCCACAACTGCATCCAGAAGGACATGAAAGACTCAGGCGGCCACAGCAACACCGCCAACCGACGCACCACACCTGTATGAAACTGATAGAGGGTTCTCAGACACAAAAAAATCAGAGGGAATTTGGGGGGAAGGCAAAAGACAGATCATGGTGTAAGGAGATGGAAAGAGGCTTAAATGGATAGATGGAGTGAGGGGTAAGACAGAAGGGAACTTCTGAGCGCTCCACAGCACCTCAGATGATCACTGAGTTCCTGTTTAAAAAAAAAGGAAACTGAGAAAAAATGCATAAAAAAAGAAACATGCATGATTTTCCCATCTACCATTGTTTAACAAGTTTTGAACATGTTTGTAAAGATTTGAGGGGGAGGATGGGCAAAGAAGAGTCGGGAGGGGGGGGTGGGGGGCGGCCAGTGGTTGTCTGTCTCGGGGCTGTGGAGCCGTGGAGTGGTGGGCTGGGCCAGACTGCCCGTTAAAACGTGAACTTTATATTTTTTACTCTTCCTCAGTCTGATGAAAAGGGGGCTTAGTTGACCCCTCGGCCCTGCCTATGATCCCGCCCTCGCACTACCATCCCACAAGCCCCCCAACACACACCCTAACCTCCCTTAAACCCCACTCCTTTCTTTAGTTGCTGTATCTTCTTGATTTCATTCTTTATTCGCATTAATACTGTGAACCATTGCGGTGTGGGATTTAGCAGGGAACAATTCAGGCCGCAAAAAAAGAAAAAAAAAGAAAAAACACAAGTTAATATATGTATTGATTATATATGAATATATATGTTAATAAATCATGACTAGACTTCCCTGGCGCAAAAATATCAACAAGAAAAAAAAAAAGAAAACAAAGTAACCTACAAGTGAAACTAAATCAAGTCGTCATGGAAACTAAACCAAGACGGAGGATTCACCGTGACTGGCTCATTTGACGGGCAAAGGCTTCAGCCTACTTGATACACTGATATTGGTTAGTATTAGACACATCATCACATTCTTTTACAACAAAAAAAATCTTTTGGCCTTCCGCCGAAACCCTGGCAGCCATCGTTGTTCAGGGTCAACTAAAGTTGACCTTACTTTTTTTGCTCCATGAAGGGGCGGAGTGAAGAGCGAACTCTGGGTAATCGAGGATCTCTCAGCAAACTTGAAGAAGACTGTGGACAATGAAATGTCACTACTGCCAAAGACACAAAGTAGTGCGTGAGAGAACATGGCTACCAGCGAGGTGAAGCTAAGTGACTCCAAAAAATTAAGAATTTACATGCATGCTAATCAAAATCATCCGATCTGCTTTTAAGGAACCTATGTTTTGAACAACTGAACAATACCATGTAAGGGCAGTGGGATGACAAAGTAGAAATCAATGTTACAGTACTGTGTCTACTTCAATTTTTCTTTCTTTTCTTTTGAGTGGGTAATTTGGGGTGGAGCTTCATTACGCTTGAAACAAAAAGAACAAACCTTGGAGAACGTATCAAGGCTTTTTTTAACAGAAGAAAATCTTATCTTGCCTTTTCATTTACTTTTATTTTCTCAGTTCCTTTGAACTCTCACACAGCCTTAGACTTTTTCTTTGTCTCATTTTTCTCGTTTGGTTTTGCGTTGTGTTGTTGTAAATGAGAATTTTAAAAAAGCGTAATGTCTTTCAAGGTGCCAAAACTGAATGATTCTGAACTTGGATGCATCAAGTCCTGATGACGAATAAAAATTGAACCCCCCCGTAGGGAACAGAATGAGTCTTGTATCATGTTTGGTCTAAAAACACAACATTGCAGAGTCCAGTTAGACCAGAGTTTATTTTAAATGAGATGGTGAGAGATAGGTACTGTCTTTCATTTAACACTTTGACAGACTTAGACCTCTTGAAAGGTCTGATGGTAAAGACCCACTGAACAGGGTGCAACACAGCCACATGGAGCAAAGTTCACCTCTTCCCTTTCTATGGGACCCAAAAATATCACCTCTCAAACTTTGCCAGAAATTGCAGTGTTTGCCAGAAGTTTAGGTTTTTATGTGTGATCCATCCAGGTGTAGGTTGCTTATTTACACAGCGGTTGCTTCGCGAGCCTCGACATACCCATAGAGACAAGCTTAACCATCAGTGCAACCCACATTTGCTTTCTTTCTGAAGAGGAAAACGTGCACCGCTAACTTTCATTTTGCAGGCTAGATAGCAAGTCATCTGTAACAAACTGAACAGCTTAAAAACATACATTCAAAAGCCAAGATTGATCAGTTTAGATGCTAAATGGTGCTAAACTATTCTTCAATACTGCTGCTAACAAAACACTCTCCTTGGCTTGTAAGTTTGTTTACATTGTGTCTCAGCATTCCTGCTGGGTCAGCTGTCACTCAAACACATACACTGGGCCTCCCATTTAACTGCTCGGAGGGTAAAGGTGCATTTCTAATGCATCTCAGATTTCTTTTTTTGTGACTTCACTTTCACTTGATTGGACTTTACTGCATGCATCCACATTTCTGTGGAAGGGCAGCCATAACACAAGATCATCATACTCTACATACACACATCTCAATGACTAGGTACTGTAGTTGGTGTAGCACAACCTGCCTTGACTACACCATCTCATACTGCACAACATTTTCTCACAGAAAGCATTAGAATTGCTTGGTCTTCTAGGGTTAAAAAGTGGTAGAATATGCAACAGTACTTTGCAGCACAAGCAAGGCTTTCTGAGGGTGCAACCAATGTGTAACGCAACATGTTGGTGGGGTTTATTAATGTTAGTGTTTTTAATCCATGGGTAAAGTATACTGTATGAACACTTTGTCACCCACCTGTTCACTCTTGCATGTCCTTTTTCACTCCATCACTTTCTATGATTCACTGTCATTCACTCTCTCAACTTCACATCCATGTTCACCAACTCAAATCACATACTCAGCCTGACCTCTCTCCCAATTTCATTCACACTCTTGCTCGCTTCCTCATTCCCCTCTATCTCCGTTAGCTCTCCATTAGCTGGCTGACCCGCTGTTCCATCAGATGAACTTCTTCAACATCAGCCACATATACTTCTGCATGATACTCTGTCTCTGGGTTCTCTTTCTCTCTCGCTATCCCTCCTTCCCTCCCTCTCTCTTCTCCCCTGGTGTGATGATCAAAGTGGCTGGCATGTCCCTCTGCAGTACTGTTGTGATCACTGAAGAGAGGCGAGCGAGAGAGTGAAGAAGAGGGAGGAGAGAGAAAAGGGATTGGAGCAGTTGGACAGCCTCCTTCAAGCAGCGGCACACTGCCTCCCTCTGGTTTGGAGGTACATAGAGATTTTCTCATTGAAAAGTCAGTGCTCAAACTCATTGACCTCTCCCAAAGTGCATGGAATAAATCCTCCACGACAGATTCTATTAGCAACATGAATATACTGGAAGGTAAATTCAGTTGACTCTCATTTGCAGAACGAGACTGACTTTCCTTTTAAGATTAACACCTTAATGACTCCAAACTGATATACATTTGTGTGCGGCAACAATTCCTAAACTTACTGAATTATAATCAATAAAATGATACATTTTAAAAAGCCGCTAAACTGATTAATTAAATTTACATTTAAATGACGCATTATGGCCTGACCGCACAGATTATATAAAAGAAGTGGACATATAGCCACTGTGACATCACCCATTGGTTTGGCATTTTGGCCGTCGCCATCTTGGGTTTTTTAAACCAGAAGTGACCATTTTTGGACAAGAGGGTGGAGGTAGCTAGATTGGTTAGCAAGAGGCATCCGTAATTCATGTAACTGATATTAACTGGGAAGCCGTCCCCTCCTTCGGCCACTCAGCTGCCTTGACATTTTGTGATATGTAGCGATATAGATTACCAATGCGTTGACTAAAGCCAGCTAGACACCAAGGTCTTGCATGTAAATATGCACACTCACCATTAGCTGGATATTACAGGTGGTTTGCATGTGGTTATTAATTGACAGTGTTGCATGTGAATTGCTTAACTTTACGGTAAATCACCCTTTGTTTTCAGCTGAGATCTCAACTCAGGAAACAGGTGTTTTGAACCCAAACACAGACACGAACATGAAACAGGTAGAGTAGGTGACGTTTATTGCAGAACCAGGTGAAACTTTCAGTTGTATGTGAAGCAAGGTTGTCCAAACACAAAGGGTGAGTAAATCCAAGGTCCAACAGAAAGTTAACCCACAAACAGTCACAAGAAACAATGGAGAGAACCAACTGACACAAAAGCAACAATGAACTGGCACAGAATGAAGGGAGAAAACAGCAGACACACAGGTGAAACCACTAGACAATCAGAGAAACTAAAACAGGAAGTAAAGCTCACATAAACACACAAGGCGTGAAATCACAAAATAAAAAAACCCTATGATATGAGTGCCTTGCTAACAAAATATACAAAAGCAAGGAACACAGAGACAGTAAACTACGCCAGAACACTAGTGAAACCTCAAAACTACAAGTATGAAGTTTGAGTATGATTACAGTCCAGTAAAATGATGTATTACAGGAGAATGAGACATCATGTAACACTTCATTTCTTGATGTGGCTGTTGTTTCATGAACAAGTAACAATAATATTCACAATAACATGGTTTTACTGAATAATCAAGTAAACATAATTTCTTAATATATCGATGTTAAGAAACTGGATTTCTTGAATGGCAACTCTCTGCTATTTCACAGAGGATATCTTTTATAATAATAATTAATAATCTTGATTTGTAGAGCACTTTTCAAAAACAAGTTACAAAGTGTCTTTTGTCCTGTCCCAGGCACCACAGCTATACAACTCACTTGGATAGGGGAAGGGGGTGTTAAAATTACTTTACCTTACCTAGTGCTAATGTGGTATACACTGGGTTGGTCAATTTACACTATATGTTTTTATAATATATTAATTACGTTTGAGAAGCTAACATGAGTACCATAAACCAACAAGATTTTCAGCCTTTGCTGGCCTCTACTGTCCTTATTACGTGTGCCACAAGCAGAGGTCTCATAGCATAGATTACTTTATGGCAAAAAACAGAGAAAGCACAGATATCATAGTTATTTCAAAAACAATATCACAATATTTAAACATAGTTTTAATCTAATTTCCTTTAAAATGTGAATGCAACTTACATTTTTTGGGATGCTATTGGACTTTTTTTTTTTTTTATCAAAAAGCAGATCGGTAAACATTTTTGTTGTAGTGCAGGGGAGCTTGGAGGCATTGTGGCTGATTTTTGTCATGCTGCAGTTCAGACAGGAGGGTAGCAGATCTGGGAGAACAGCTGCTGTGTCCTCCCTCACCTGCAATTAGCAAGCTTTTTAGGTCACGGACAGTTAGGGGCTATGGAACACGCCATGCTTGGACACACACACACACACACACGCACACACACGCACCAACCCACACACCCACAGTGAGACAGAGAGAAGGAGACCAAGGTTAAGGTCAATTCAATCAAATTACCACATTAATATGAGTTAGCATAATTTACAGTTACGGTATAATGGTATAATTTGGTTGTATCGCTATGGGGAACGGCTGCTTGCAAAGGAACTTGGGAAAACGCAGAAAGCCATTATTTAGAAACTAGAAATGTTAAGGATCAGAAAAGGAAAAAAAATAAGAGAGAAAATCAGCAGACAGACAAAGAGCTGATCTGCAGGAAAAGAGTGTGAGAAACAGAAAAGGAGTGGGTTTGGGTGTAAGATGTGAGCTGGAACTATTTGCCCTGTGCTCAGGCTGTGTCATGAATACAAAACTCTGTGTTTGTTTGGGTGAGATGCACTGCAGTGAAATATAGCTGAAATAAAACCCTGATGTCCCAAAGCAGACTCAGACCTTGCACAGAAACGATGTGTAGAGATGCACAGGTACACCAGGGCCAATTGCAGTCATCCACAAATGCTATGTATACTTTTGATAATGTAAAAGAGCACAGCAAACATCATTTGTAAAAACCGAAAATACAGACGCCTGACATTTCTAGGAAATCCAACTGTAAATATATAAGGTTTTATCTGAGTAATTAGTGCTTTAGGTATTTACTCAATGTTTGCCATTTGTAGCACACGAGAAGACTTTCAAAGCAACAGCTCATGCTCTCCTTTCAGGCCAATATATCAACCTTATCATTTCTGATAATTGCCAGTGAATTTCTACACCCAATGCATAAATTATAATTTATGTTTCAAGGTTAAATTTTTTAAAATTTAAAACTTCTGTGCACTCTTTATGTATTGTTGAAACAGTTACTGGCTGCTCATCCTGAATGGTGGCCAACCAATTGCTAGATCCTCAGTTTGAATGCATGTAATGTTTAGCATGTATACAGCACTCCCGATAAAACCACTAGGGCCCTCAATGAAACGTTAGCTGACCTGTTTTTATGAGGCTGAAATATATGCATGACATATTCATGACATATGGTGACGATCAAATCATGACTAGGCAAGTTGCTTTATATCACCGCTGTATGGCTGCACAAATACTCATTCTTAACACAAAAAGAGAGCAGCAGCAAATATACTCCAAAATGACGGAACCTCTTAATACTGATTTATTTGCTTAAAAGCAGCAGCGAGACATACGTAAAAGTTTGGAGGAAGTCAGTGGACATAACATGATATTAGCAAACAGTGCACTCCTTAGTCCTATTTTTTTTCCATGTAGAGTTTGGTGGTGGTAGATATGAAATATTAATGTGGCTCCGCTTGCCAATGTTGGTTAAGTCCAGCTCTGCCGCTTTCTCACCAGTATCAGGTTTTCAGATATAAACCATAGTTCACTTTTAAAGTGATTATGTCCGAATTGATATTAAAAACGCACAATCATCAATTTGTCATTGCCTAATTAAATCACTTGAAAGAGCATGACAGCAATATAGTAGCTCTGTGCCCACTGGGGCAATGCATGATAAAATACAAGCACTTTTGGTTTGCTTCAAATAAAAGCACCCACCTAACGGCACATGCAAGCATTAATATGTGAGGCAAGAACAGTTTTAAAACATTCATTAGTGGTCTGCTGAGTACTGCAAAAAGACCTTGAATTAATTACTGTATATCATAAAATAATCTTTAGTTCTTTATGGTTACAATCACAAGTAACACAAACCAAAGTTGACCTCCATCACCTCCTGCAGACCTTTCAGCTTTGAATGGGAGTGGCAGTGACCACTTTGCCCTCTCTTGTGGCTAAAAGTTGAACAGCAGTTGTTCCTGCTGTGTTATAGCTCTGCGCCAAGGGAGCAAACCTGTTTTGAATACTAATTATTGAGAGTGAATGACTGCGGTCAGTAGGGACAGATGAGCACACTGGAAGTGTATAAAGCCACGAAAACAGGCTTGTGTCAACATTTCTATGATTGCTAACCGGCTGTTCCAATATCTGTGGAAATGAAGATGTCTCTCCCAAAGCAATAAGTAATAACCCACACTCTATGCTGAGATGTTATTAAATTATATTCCCAAGACATGCTCCATTTAAAATGAATAGAAGACAGACTTTAGGATACTGTTGAAGTGGTTCGAGTGATTTTCCAGGATGGTCAAGAACTTGTGTTACACCTTAACAGTATGTAATGTGTGTACAATAATGATTGAACTTGAAGTCAGCGCTCCAGGAAACTACTGCAGTTGACAATGCCATACATATTACATAGATTTATATGCACATTGGTGGGCACAAATAAAGGGAACAGGTTTATAATCTACATGCTGATACACAAAAAAAAACTAATGTGACAGACAGCATAAGCAGGGGGGAAAAAACAGATCTAGACACACCAGAAAACACATGCAGACACCCTCACGTACACATTACAGACATGAAAACAATGAGGACAGAAAGAAAGAGAAGGAGAAAGATCCTAATTGCTATAATTACGATCACCCACTCGAGGAGTAGGAAAACATTGTGCTGCAATAACAATTACAAGCTGTTAAATACAGATTCTGTAAAGAACGTGATTACAAATCAGTTTTTATTTTAGAGGGGGAAAGTTTCCCAATAAGATACTTCATTACTTAGCCACTTACTTTCATGTATGTAGTTTGTGAATTAAGACTGTTGTGGTTTTAAAAATGCCCCACACTTCTCCACAAGTGTCAAAAGACACAACGGTACAGCTGGTAGAGAGGACTGAAAGAAAAACTAATCGAAAATTCAGTGACTGCATTTCCTAAAGAGGACAGAGACTGACTGCAGTGTGTAATAATCATGAGACACTTTCAGTATAGAGCATAACAAGATAAAGACCATTATGTCTGGCTTGAACCAGTGCACCCTCATTTGAATGGTGGCAGCTGGTCTGAGAGGCAGTGAAAGAACAAGGACACAGCTTTGACCTGGTTTGAATGGGAGACTGCTAATTAGAACGGTGATTACTGGTTGTTAGAGCGGCACCGGGGACATGCCTGAAATGACGTGAGAGAGCTGCAGCTGGGGAGTTAACACAACAAGAGAGAGAGAATCAGAATCAGCTTTACTGGCCAAGTATGTGTATACATACAAACACATGCTGTTTTTGTTTTTTTGTTGCTCTCTTGCAGAAGCTAGACAGAGAGAGGGGAAGAGATAGAACTGGAAAGAGGAGAGACAGCAAGCAGGGGGGCCGAGATTAAAAAAAAAAAAGGCAACAAAACAACAACTCATAATGGCAGAGAGAAAAAAACTGAGACATGTCAGAAAAGGACAGAGCAAGTGAAAAAGAGATAGAGTGAGATAAGGAAGGAAGGCAAACAAGAAAAAAGATGAGGCCAGGAAGTGACAATGAGATTAGAGGTACGGCACAACAACATTAAAAGGGGGGTAGGAGGCAATAAATAAGGGCGAGCTCGAACCTTTTGTCTTGCTAAAATCAGGAACAGACATCTATGCAGAAGAGAGGTGATCTTTTCTCCACAGTGAGCTGGAGTCTTATTGTGGTTTTGGTAATGACCTGACCATCACTGTGAAAGGACCCTACTATCTGTGCATATGGAGGGAACGAGCAGATAAGAGACAACACAGCTAACCACTGATTATCGTAGAAACAACTTTATTCACGGTCCCATCAAAATATCGTTCCGAACACTATTCTCTGCTGGGCCTGCAGCGCATGGTAAAAAAGAACACAGGCCTGAATTGCCTCAAATGCTCACATGCATAATCCATAAAGCTTATTAAATTCTATGAACAGAATCTTGTGTCTATTCTACGTGTGAAAAGTCAAGGTGTGTGTGTGTAACTGGATAAGGGTCTAGCCTGGACTCAGGTTCTGGATTTCCTCGCGACGTTCTTGGTAGAGAGAGTGGAAGGCCCGGGCTAAACTCAGGAGCAGAGAATCACAGTTCTCCATCTCTTTCTGCAAGACAGAAACATGAACACGAGTGATGGGTGGTGTTGTTCTCTACTCATGCAGAAATACAGTACAACCCATTTGGTGCACTTTACCCACAAAGCCAAAGAAGAACACAATGTACACTTACAGCTGATGTCTCGTGGTACTCCAACCCATGGCTTTGGGCCCAATCCTGGGCCACAGATGCCTGGACCTCCCTTCTAGCAGACAAGTCTGACTTGTTGCCCACCAGGACACCTGAGACACCAAATGTTTAAACATCGCTATTGCATTCATTCTGCCGATATTGCTACCTTCCTTTTTTTGTTTAAATGTCAAATGCCTCAAAAGTCCAGTATTGATCACGTTCTAATCCATAGCTATTGCACAACTCCACAAGATATTAGGTAACACATTACAAAACAGACCTGATAATCCTTTACATAAGTCCCAGAATGAAAATTACAAAAGAATTCAGAACAACTCCACAACTGAACTATGTCTGTCAGTCTGCCAACGTTAAGACAAATTCTTTGAATTTTAGAGGTTGGTACCTGGAATGTGGAAACCCTGGCAGTGAGCATGAACTCTCTCAATCCAGTGGCTGCAATTGGCAAAAGACTGCTCACTGGTCAGGTCAAAAACCAGGCACAGCAATGACAGCTCACCCCACTAAGGAAGGGAAGGTGATGGGTGGTGATGAGGTGGGGAGGGTTGTTTAGGGAATGCGGACAGGGTGGCAGACAATGAGACAGCATCAGATCAGCTTAATACTTTCTACTCCTGTGACAAAATAAATAATATTCCAGTAGCTCCTCTGTGTTTGTACTTCATGTGACGAGGATACAGAGCCCTGGATGGTGGATTTCACTAGCTCAGTGCAAAAAAACTCAAGAGAAGCAATCTCACCATCTTTTCACAGGCTTCCACTAATGTTTGCTTCCCTGCAGAGTCTATGATGTATAGCTCCTGGAGGGGAAAGGCGAGAAGAGAATGGAAGGGAAGGGAAAAGGTGTTACATGGAGATTTAGTCAAATTACATGGTTTTAAACCACTTATTTCTTTTCGTAAGGGCATTAATGTTCTTCCTACAATGCTGCCCTATTGCCTCTGAATACAGATGAGAAACTAACAGTATTAATGTCAGGGAAAACTCCCTCCACACTGAGTGATGGATTCCAATTCTCACCACCCACCTTCTGTGATTTTGTGACTTTTATAAGATAAAAGAAGCCCAAAAAGATATAAACAGGGTGGTGGACACAGTATGAGAAAGAGACAATGGCTGGACTCACCACACTGTCATTGGTCTCTGGGATGTTCACACATTTCATTAGCAGCTCCGCTCCGGTTGTCTGCCAAACAAACACAACCGAGATGTTAATTAAAATTCTGTTTATGTAACGTAAACCTAAACAGCCTTTATGAAGCCAGCCGCTCATGTTTTGCTTTTGTTATGAACAACTTCTCTGTCAATGTGATTGCATAGAAACATCTGTAGTGTATTTTTGGCTACATTTTCTTAAGTGTAAATGCTTTTGTTTCTTCAATGTTCTTCAAAAGCTGCAGCTAAATCAGTATGTACTGTAGTTGTATGTGTCGCTGTCAACCAAGGTTTTTACAGCACCAACGTTCCTCCTACTGTGGGTTCTATAAAGAAGAGAAGAGACATTTAGCGGCCACGGAGCTGACGCTTTACGCAGTAGCACAACAAACTAGCTGGTTTGATTTATTGTCAATATCTAAACATAAGCATCACTAATTAGTAGCTTGGCGTGGATTGAACCTAACCCTCTTCTGTACCTCCACGAATCTTATAATGTCTCAATAAAGAAAAAGCCTTCAGGGAGAGACCTACCAGCTCGGTTAAACTCTAGTAAGAATGATAGACTGAATGGCCCCCATGGGGCCCAGCTGTTGCAACAATTAAAACATAGTGAGAGTCTTAATGGTTAATACAAATCTAGAGTGGAGGTTTACATTTATAATGGGTTGACAGTTACCACAAGCAGCTAGTTTGTCTGTGGTTTGAAAATTTGTCAAATATCAGCCCGATATCTGGCATTTTGAGATAAACGGCACGGCCAATGCGTGCTCTCACAAGGCCGATACACAAAAAATGTTTGAGGACACATCTGCAGGCAGCCTTGTCAGTGGAGCGATGTTAGTGCTCCCTCTTGTGTGTTTAAGGAAGGTGGTGAAACAGTTTCAATCCCTAAATGTCCTTAGTCACCATTGTCTTTTCTAAATGTTTCTCACATCCTAAATGACAGCTCATCTAATCTAAAAACCATTACTGGCTAGCGTTAATTATATATAGTTAAACTGTATGGAATCATGCAGTTGTCAACAATGTCACTTTTGACAAACTGTGCCCCACTCTCCCTTAACTAGTCAAGTTCTGAAATCTACAACATGCATGGAATAATGAAATTATACATGACTTTTCTTTGTTTTGATATTTGATATTGCTTTCTAAATCTAAACAGCGGCCATTGAAAAACTCAAATTAGTCAACCACTAATCTGGTCACAGATCTCTGTCAATACCTAGAAGTTTTTCTACCTTCTATAATTTTCAGTGGTAAAACAGTGCAGGCCAGTTGAGAAAGAGCAATGGTTTTTGTTTTGGTCAAAAGATTTGATGGGGAGAAAATGCATAGGTCAGACACACGAGCGGCTGACAATTTTTAGAAATGAGTACAGGGCATGTGGAGGAGGAGAACAGAAGGAGATAGAATGCAGGTAGTAAAGGGTGGAGATGATGCAGCTCTAGTCCTGCATCATCTCCACTTGCTGCATTGCTGCCCTCTTGCACTGTAGGGCATAAACAAGCTGTTGATGCAGCACTGACAGATGATTTTATTTTTTGTATGGCAAATATCTTATCAAACAGTTGCCTATTTACACATCCAGCAGACACTAAGCATTAACATTCGTTTGGAGTCCTGTTTGCGTCCTCCTGATGAATGTACGTATCAGTACTCACTCTCCTTATTTTTAGCTATTTTAGCTCCTGTGCACTCCATTTTTCAATGAAAAACAGCTGCTTGTTGCGGCCAAAAACAAAAACAGCAGTGAGAGTGAACCAAAACAGTAAAGTTACAGGCCACAAATTACTAACAGTGACGTTAAACTGTAAATGTCCATAGAGCTGAGTGGAACTGCAGAGTTGGGTGATAATTTTCTGTGGATTTGGGACTACAAGTGACCCGTTTCACATACAAGTAATCATGTGATTCATTGTTAATATATAAATATTGATTATAGCCGCTTTAACAAAAGAAACCAAAGTTCTCAAATATAAAATATTGTCCACACACAAGCAGCCCTACAACAGCTGTTTTACTTCAATAAAACTAAATTCGGCAACATTTGGAAATTTGTAGAAACTAAAACTAAAATGACCAGAGATACTGTTTTCCCTCTTTTTGTGTATGGTAGAGTTGTACAGTGGAGGTGCCAGATGTGTTTTTGAGTCAGCACAATGGCAGTTTCAAGAAAGAATAGTTGTTTAAGCTTTGGTGTCGAGGTTGCAGATGTAATACAGGAGGTAGATATAAAAGGAGATAGACTGCAGGCAGTAGAGGGTCAGGATATGATAAATATAGTCTGATCACAGATGCATGTTCTTCACAAGCTTCCAGATCTATTGAGGTCCTAAGTGGACTGGATGGTTGCAGGTTTCCCTTCGCCACTATGTATCAGCTGGTATGAGATCAGTGGTGACCTTGAAGAGGCAAATTGAGGTTTCTTCACATCAGCACCATACTCAAAAATTGAGCTGATCTCCTGAGCTCAAACTTAACTGAGCATGTCAAATGCACACACAGACACACACAAACACACACACACACCTCAGACAAACATTTACCTGCTTCATACACAGAAACAGTTCATAAGAAGGATCCAGTGGTACAAACACACACACACAGATGATGTGGCGGTCCCACTTGGAGCGGTCTAATGAGCTGGTGTGATGCATAGGAAGCCTCTCGCTGGAATGTCAATGAGGGCCTATTAGTAACAAATAAGCTTGGAATATTGCTAACGGGCCGTCTGACATTTTCAAAGGAGGACGTGAGCAGAATGGCCGACAGCCTCGGCTACCCTTCAAAATCAAAAGTTGAACAACATGAGGGATGACTTAGGTGTCTGCACAAGGAATAAGTCTTCACAGTGCTGGCTCCTTTTTCACATTAGTCACAATGGAAAGGACACGCTGTTCCCTGTTTCCATCTGCAGTGAAATCTTAAAGAGAAAATCCAACCTGATACATTTAACACTGCTTAAAACTACTATTGGTAGAACACTTCAGTCATGGGTGTTAGGTGATGTGGTCATAGTGGTGTAAATATACACAGAATACACAACATAAATACAATTTTGCTGTTCTTAGGGCCTAAGGGTAACAGTAGAGTAAAGTCAAAATAAAAGGGTTATCAATGAGGGAGCATTTAAGAGCTCAGTAAATTTAATCTTTTCTTAATCTGTCCAATTCCATTTTGATATTTTTATGTGGAATTTCTGGGCAAACTGTACAACATAGGGGATTGCCGGGGGTCATGAAAAAATACAAACTAGGGCTGAACAATTAAATGAAAAATTATCTAAATATGTGCAAAATCCGCAGGAGCAGCATTTTTTTTGATAAAGATGAAAAAATCACATCAACATAATTTATAAAAAAAAATGTGTTGTGAAAATGAAATGCAAAAATTACCATTCCCACAATAATTGTGACTCCTATCACAATCTCAATATCTGTTAAAATAATCACAACAAATTACATATTAATCTGCCTTAGTATGTCAGGGAGAAGTTTTCCCCTGGCAGTGGCACGAGATAAAAAGGTCATAAGAACGAAAAAAAGGGATTTGAAATTCATAGGACTACAGATTTCAGCACAAAATTTCAATGTGAATCTGACCAGTAGCTGACGAGCTTCCTGAATTTAGCAGATATTCACTTTCTTGCCTTTTCTCTTGCTACGATCATTACCATTATAGAAACTGATCTGAATAAAAAAAACTTAAATACATAGTAACTCCTGGCTCCAGCTTCAAAGTTTTGGTTGGTGGAGTTTGTTTTACATGAAGCACTTGCCACCAAGTGGGCAAGAAGTTAAAAATATTTCAGCTAATATCAAGCAAGCGGCTGGCTCCAAATAGGTGATTTAACAGTTGCATAGCAACAGCAGAGACCGTGACCAGCACTTTTCCATGAGCATTTGTTTCAGTGCATCCGGCTAATAAAGTGGTGCTTGGTGGGCACAGGGTGATCTACAGGTACGCATGCTAACCTGCATGTTTCTCCTCTTATTTTCATTGTGACATTTTCCTATTTGTTATGTTGTATGGATATTTATAGCTTGTATTCAATTTCATCCGTATGTTCTGTATGTATTTCATTTTTCGGCAAATGTTTATGTTATGCAGCAGTAAATATGTGTTAAGGCTTGTCTGGAGTTCAGCAAGCATACTAGGCCAGTGCAAATGTAAAATGCAGAACTATTGCAGCACCTTTCTACTTTACTCTACAAGTCCAACATGAACAGACACGTAAAGCATCACAAACAAGTGGATATAGGTCTCTGCAGTACAGAGAAACTCAACACTGTTGTGGTACAGTGTGTGTGTGTGTGTGTGTGTGTGTGTGTGTGTGTGTGTGTGTTTGCGCTTGTTAAGTACCTGTTCTGGTGGCTTTCCAGAATCCTGCTGTATTAATTATCGACGTTCCTGTCACCACAAAACCCCCAATACTGCTGACACAGCAAGAGCTGAACTAACACACACACACAATTTGCTCTTGTCCAGTAGTTTACCCACGAAACTGTTCTGTACCCTAACCAGCTGCAGGGCTTAATAGTGAACTCCCAAATGAATGTGTGCAAGCTGCACTAGCGCATTTATTATTGTGTAGCGCATGGATTTAGTCAGTAGCCCTTCAAACATTGACAGAAGAAATCAGTGAGCGGCCTTGACCCCACATATCACAGAGTCAGGTTAATGACACAGTTCCATCCCTCATGCAGATTAGCATAAATAATGCAGATTAGCCCTTTCTGCATCAGCATTAATTGGTACATTGTGCTGCTTTGCACTTCAGAAATTCCTGTAGTAGATTTAAGAGACCTCTGCAGGTCCTTGAAAAGCTTGCAAGGAGTTCCGCTAAAGAAACTACGTATGTAAAATGATCAACATTATCAATGACCATTACATGTCTTTTAAGATTTGCAACTGATACATAATTACATCTTGGGAAAAGTAAATATTATTATTGCATCCAAAATGAACTAATATTAAAGCTAGGGTAGGCAATTTTGGAGAAACTAGCAAGAGACAACTAGAATTTGAAAGTATCCAACTGAAAAAAATCCCACCTTCTCCCTTTATTCCTACATCCAAATCCACGCATTTTCATTCGCAATGAGTAAATGAGCAGCGTGCACGCAGGTAGACAGGAAGACCAGTCAAGCATTTCATTCTGTCTGAGTGAAATGATTGGCTGCTTCTTACAGTATTGCAACAGCCATCTATACTAGATTTTTTTTTCCTTTCTTGTGTCAAAGCATTTAAATTATTGATTGTTGTCAGGATCATGTAAAAAGAACTTCAACAATATAACAATAAAGATTTTTGAAATAAATTGCCTACAAAAGCTTTAAGAAAAGAAAAGATCCGGAGCGCTCTTTGGTGGGGAACACAAAAGTTATAAAAGGAAGAAAGGTCCTCAGGCACTCTTCTGGCAAAAAGTTAAATAGGCTATTTCATTCTAATTTCTAAAAAGATAGACAAGACAATGCTCGTACATGAGCTGAGTAACAACCCATGTGTTGCAGCACAAACAGCCCTTTGTTTTGCTGGATTTTGTTAGCTCTATTTAGAGGTGTTTTCAGTGTTTTTAGAATTTCACCATGAAATAGCTTAATAGCTAGCATAATATAGGTGTTTGTTTTGCCAGAAGACTGCCTTGGACCTTTCTACCTTTTTGAACTAATATTAATTTGGATATGTAAAGAATTGCCTAATTCTAAAATGATTGATTGATTAAATTTGAAATATTAGAATTTAATTATTTAATTTAAAAGATTAATTAACCCTTCTCCACAAGTACTAAATGATTACCTGCACTGTCTATATGAAATATCGAGCCTGCTACGATCTCTACAGGTATCATTACTCTGGGGTTCTCCTGTAAAGTTACTCTGAAGGACGACTAGTTAAAAGTGTGGCAGCAGCAGATTTAGCCAATTAACTCAGTGATTAGCTGCTTTAGTATCAGCCAGGACTGAACAACAGAATACATTTTAAATTTTGCAGCACTTCACAGAACATGGATCTTACTAACATACTGCTGTCTTTTCTAGCAGTGAGCCAGAATTAAATCTCATGAGTTGCTCCTTCAAACCCAATTCAAAATCCCAGTTACCCTACCTGAATGTAAAAATATAAGCCGCTGGCTAGTCCCTGACTCAGAGCACATCCCAACTCCTAAATCCCTCAACCAGTTGTTTTACAACCCAATTCCTTTGTTATTATTGTGTGATGTGAATATAATACAGTGTATCCTTATTTTACAAGAAGTTTAACAGTGGTACCTGAGGTGATCCAAACACACAGCAGTATATTTGGAATTGCATGCCCTTGCTGTGGGACATGTGATAGTAATGTGACAGTATTACATGCTCTCACCATGCTGTAGTTTTTCTGGAAGAGAGTACCATCACTGTGGAACATATGGGAAAGGGCACTTTTCCCCACCGCAGCATCTCCTACACACACAGAGTAGAGAGGCTGACTTCACAATTTCTCAACTCCTGAGTGTACAGATGAATGTTAAATGTGTGTTTACTAAATGCTTTGGAAATTAAATTAATCATTAACCTTCCTTTGGTATTGTCAAATTATCCAATGGAGTATTCATACAGTCAGATTTACCAGCTTTTGTTGGTGTATATTTGTGATTTGGTATCAAATATCTACTACAGGTGTTGTGCCGAGTTCTGCATGCCTGCTGAGAATTGCACGCACCTCCAAGTACTGTTTAAAAACAATATAATAGTTTTGTAGGGTTCATCAATGGTGATAAATGATTTGAAGTAGATATTTTATGAACGTTTAGAGTCATCAATATTTTATTACTCTTAGTAGAAGTAGAATTCCTTGAGATTTAGCAGAAATATGTGGTGATTGCATTTCAGCATTTCAACAATCAACATGCAAGGTGTCTGAAAAGGAACTTAAGAGGGGACTGCACAATTCGGCAGAACAGATGTTGTAGGCTAAATGCCAGGATTTGCATCCACCTCTTTTCTCAGCATATATGAGTGTTAACTCCCGCGACGTGCATGCAATTCTCCGTGGGCATGCACAAATCGCACAACACCGGAAGTGATTTTTTATGATGAAAATGAGCGTCATAATATTTGAGATCTTAAGTTATAAGTGGTAACGTTAGTCTAACTAAGAAAGGGGAAACGGTTTTAACGTAATTTTGCTTTGCACGTTGAATCTGATTAACCCTTGTGATAGGAAATTACAGAGGAAAGAGGACCATTAATTTATCTCTGGTGTTTTAACGCTTACAAGTGAACTGACTACGGCGGGTTTTGTAGCAGATTGGTTAGCTTTAGCCATTGAACCGTTTAGCTTTACTAGCAGAAGGATGAAGTACATTTTTAAAACCTTACCGACAAGCAGACATCTCGCCCTTAACTTCACCATTACAGTGGATAACTTCCAGACACTGTACGTTACATAAATTATGGTAAATACGTCTCTACCTTCTTTCTTTAGCTGTTTATGCATGTAAACATGTCTTCCTAGTCCCTCAGCAACATGAACACAACGCGTCTCTTAGCAACCAGTCACAGAGGTGTTTTATTGGTCCAACCAGTGAACACGTACAGCGAGTGGCTGCGCTGTCATTGGCTAGTTGTGAGGACGTAACAAGCGGGTGGATTGGGGGTTATTTCCCCGACTATTTGTCTGTCAGGCAAAGCTTTCTCAAACTGTGTGCAGTTACCGCCACTTGTGGTAAAATTGTTATATCGAAACTCCTCTGGTTCCTGGTACTACAGCAAATACAAAGGTAGTAAGAACAGCCTGAAAAGCTTATTTATGGTACGAAGGACCATGTTTTCCAAAGCAAAGATCAGAAAGACCACCAGAGGGCGGGCTTTCTTGCCTCAGCATTACAAACTTATTCTGACACGGGCTCTTTAGTTTGTGTAACTCTTTATCGTATAGCTTATTATTTTCTAATCCGATTATTACAGCGGTTTTCAAACATAAATTAATAAATGAACATCTAATCTTTCCTTAGCACACTAAAACATCGTAGTTATCACTTTGCTTTATTGAATATCATGTTCTGCTCAATCTCCTCAAAAGATTATGGGAAAGCCGAAAGCGCGTGACTCCTGGCAATCCAACGCGGTCTGGGTAATCGCTGAGAGCACAAGCGCGCGCCCTACATAAACACGTGCGTGTGCTCGCTATGTGTTATTGAAGGCGAGGCGTGACAACGGAGGCGCGTTCACGTGTTCGCCACCGGTTCCAGAGAGAGGTAGAGAGCATCACAACACTGGCAAACAGCTTCCTCTGCCCGAATAGCGAAAGAGGACAACAGGGAATTTAGAGGGTAAATTACAGGGAGGCTTTGCGCCAAGGAGCCGAGGGGAGACGAGCATCCACCCTTGTAGTGACAATCGTAGCAGGAGCAGATTCGTGGATTTTCCGTGTCAGTTGCCCGGTGCTCCACACACCCTGTGCCTTTGAATCAGCAGCGGGGAGGAGGGGAGGACCAGAGGAGGCTGTGCAGAGAGGAGGAGGACCATGGAGGGGATGCAGGCATACGGAGCCGGGAAAGCCGGAGGAGCCTTCGACCCCGTCACCTTCTTCCAACAGCCTCAGACCATTCTCCGCATAGTGTCTTGGGTGAGTGACAGAAAAATAGACAATAATTTTTTTGGGTTCTTAGCTACAGAGTGACCACATAGGCCACTTAGAAATAACCTTATTATACCTGCAATTTACATGTGCATATGTAAAATGTGGATTTGAATCTGTTTATCTAAAAAGGCAGACATGCTTCATATCAGTTTGAAATAATACATATTACTACGATTGCAGGACACAATAGACATCATTATCCTGCTTTATGGTACTTTATTCGTATTCTCTTTTGTATCAAATATACCAATATTATATGTCAGTGGTATTCCCATTGTATGTTTATGGTATAGGTAGGGAGATTATATTAGGCATATGTAGGCCCAGGATGGGTCCTGTTTCACTGTTTTTCAACATTTACTGTCCTCTCCTCTGATAACATAGGCTATTAGATAGCAACTAATGTTTTCTAATAACCAAAGTCAGAACACACAGGCTTACTGAAAGGGTTTTATAACAAATCATTTCATAATAAACACCCTCCATTCCCCAAAGGGAAGGAGCATGAAAAGGAAAAGCAACAGGCACCACTTTTAGGAAGGACACAAAGTCTCCAAAACTGGAACAAGTGGCCACTCCATCCATTCTGTGATAGGCTATATGATTTGATGCCATTGCAGATTTAAAATTCCAGATAAGGATGATATGGTCATTATTATGTAAGGACTTGATTATTTGTCCAAGGATTCTTCAGCCTATATTTACATCTTGGCTTCTAATATGATCTTCATTTGTTATAATGAATACAGAAATACATCAGAAAGTGGGAGCGACACACCACAGTATATACCACTAATGGGGACTAAGGAGCATTAAGCAGAATCTCTACCGCTCCTTTCAGCTATCTCTCTCTTTTCAGTTCTGGTAAAAATCAGTTACATTGAAGGTCAGTTACTTAACGTAACGTAGGCTGAAGGCGACCTTGATTTCATTTATCTGCTCCTCATATAAAAGTGGGTTTATGGGTGTAGATGTACTCTTTGATGACGTTCACTCAGATAATGTACCCTGTAACGGTTTTAGATGTCACACGTCACTTTTAGACTGTCACAAAATGAAAGTGTTTCTTCATAAACTGTTTTTTAATGGTGATAAGATCAAGATTAGTGATCAGGATGTGATGCTGGCTTAAGTTTCCTGTGTCTGATTCCACCAGCTCATCATTACGTTTGCACTTCTTCAAAAGGAATGTGTAAAGTTTCTCTTTAAGTTAGCTGGTTTTCATGAACTGCACATAGAAAACAAAACATGTGTTGCCTTTGCAATCCTGCAACCCTGTTACAATACAATACAACAACTAGCATGCTGGTTTATTTTGCAAGGTACGGCGTTAAATGTTAAACATAGGCCATTATTTACATTATTTATTCCCCACTTTATAGTAGAAAGTCACACAGTTGGGAATATTTCTTATTTATAGGACTATGTCTGTGTCTGCATGTAACGCCAAGAGCCTTTTCAAGTATGCTGAAAGGATAACGAGGCAAGGTGATTCATGGGGTTACACAAGTTACACTTTCCAGTAAAGGAGCAAGCCTTGCCGGCATGCTGGTTTTTGGGGTCACAAGGGGACATTTGTTTTTGGTGGAAATGTGTACAAACAAGACCAAGCTATTGTTTTGGATTGTTTTACGTGACGCTGTGATGGGAATAAAAAATGATGGATAATAGTTGAACTACTTTTAGTAAGAAAAAAGAGTTGTAGTTTACCATCAAGTATTGTTACACTGAGGTCTTATTTCTGTCCCTTGTGACTAAAGCTACAAATGTGACTGATAGTAATCTTAACATTCTCATAGAACCTGAACCCAGATCTAAACCACGTGAAAGAAGTGTGAAAACAGGTAGTGTAGTGAGTGTGTTAACCATTTAAACTCAGAATGGCTTCTATGTGGCTATTCCATGTAAGCATCGGGCCTGGTACTGAGTTTTGAGGTCAGCTCTCTGGTTGTAGATAAATACATCCACATACAAAATGGTTGCTGGTTTAATTATATGAAGGTCATGAAACATTTTGTTGTTTTTTAATTCGGTTTTATTTTGACATGGGCATGCCTAGTAAAGCAGATAAATTTCTCTTTAATACATTATTTGTAGATACCCTATGTTGTACAGTGTATGCTGTTCATTGGATATACCTTGTAGCATTATTAGGTGAAAAATGAAATGTCACAATAAAACAAAGTGTACTAAGGGTCTAATCAGTGGAAACGAGGTATTGTTTTTGGGTTTTTGGGTTTGTTTTTTGATACAGCTGTGTAGATACCTTTATCCCAAACTCCTTTGAGTCATTATTGCATATATTTTCATAATACAAGCCAATGTTAGAGTGTTACTAGGCTATAAAAGAGCACTATAACTTCTCAGAAAAGTGAAACAGGTATTTTACTATTTCCCAGAGTCCAAGGTGATGTCTGACAGTCCAAATCTCAAAAATATTCAATTTGCAATGACCTTAAGCAAATCTCACATTTTAGAAACTGAAACCTGCAACTGTATGGTATTATTTTTTTTTTTTGCATAAATGGTTTAAACAACCATCGGAAGTGTTGGCGTGATTGTGCTAAGACTCAGTCTGCTGTTCATTGGGGGGATGGAAACTATCATCATTTTAAACAGTTGATGATGGAGGTGAGGGTGTGTGTGTTAGAGAGTGGTGGACAGTTGGGAATGGAGAGATCCGCATGGCCATATTTGGAAAGAGAGAGCACTTTGTGAATGGTGGTTCAGGGTTCTTTCTCTGTCTCCCACTAATCTGACTTTTGAGGGCTGTATGTGGAGGTGGTAATAAGTGTTTGTGTGTGTGTGTGTGTGTGTGTGTGTGTGTGTGTGATTCACCCTCAGGGAGTCAGACCAGTACGTTTGTGATGATGCATGATGGATGGAGGAGAGTGAACGTAGTCACAGATGGAGGGAGAGCATCTTGTTTCTTGAATTGAGATGACATCTTTTTGCCTATGGTTCTACTTTTGATCTGCATTTGATAGAGCATTACTTTTGAAGCTTAAATCATTGCTTTTTGGCTTTGGGCGTTAAGTTCTGCTGGTGGATTTGGGTTATCACCAGGACAACTTAAGATATTTGATCAAATCAGTCTGTACCTAAATGTGGTGTGTGGTTCTGCTTTGTGCTTTATTCCTCTAAAGCAGCATCTTTACTCTCAGAAGTCTACATGCCCAACGTGGAGTTTACTGACAGCCCACTGGGTGAATTGTCAAATCAAAGTTCATCACTTAACTCTACACTAATGCAAAGTGATATTTGCGTTTGATATTTGTGTGTGTAATTTTTTGAAAGAGAAAGAGAGGAGTAAGAGCTCACTTTCAGTGTTACTGTCTCTATAGTCTGCAACAACCACCTTTGTGTATTTTGATAGTGATAAATGCATCTTACAGTTCATGAAAAGTTGCTTTCACTTGTGGGTTTCTTAACATGTGACATTTCAAAACATACGTATAATAAACTATTTAAAATATTTCAATTTCATTTTAATGCTCTTATAAGCAACGTGGGTTAACATTTTAAATTTAGCTGTGATGATTCACATATTAGAGGTCGGGAGATTGGTGAGTAAGTATTTGATATTAGCAACACAAACACACACTCTGCAGTGCTGCACATTCTGTCAGCTCCATGTAAAACAGGAACACACTCACACTTTGTTAGTGCCTACATGTCAGAATTCAGACACAGTTTGAAAGCTTTTAATGCAAGTTGCATTTACAAATGAGCCTATAGTAACACTCAGCTGTCTGTCATAGGATTGTTAATATATTTTGGCATTTGGCTGGTGAGTGTCAGTAAGCCCCTAAACTCTCCACTGACTGGTTAACAATCTGTAGTAGGGATTAGGGATAGATTGCATTGTCTTTTGTGGTTTCTCTTCACTCAGTCAACACTCTGATGTGTATATTAAAACTAGGGTTTTCATACTAACGGTATGAAAATTTCATATCACGCTTATAGTGACCAAATTTATCATGGTTATCAGTATTATCACGGTACTGTAAAAATGTGCCAAAAAATATTAAAATGTACCGATACACACACAGAAACCATTTCAACAAGTTTTATATTGAAAACTACAAATACAATTGCCATTTTGTTTTGCATTAAAAAACTTTTATAGATTTTATATTTTATATTATATAGGTAATACAATGACCCCGTGGACAATTACATGAAAATAAATAAATCTTTAGAAAACAGTGATAGTAACTGCAATGAGCCCAACAACCAACATAAATACAGAGGAGTCTGTAGCGTTTCTAGATATGCTGGTTGGTTGACTAAACAGCGTAACGTGTTATCACGTGCAGTGGATGAATAGACTCTGCCGACACACGACGCACACAGCAACAGAACAACGTGTAGCGTTTTTACAAGAGCAGCTAACTAACTGAGAGCTTCAGTTTACACGCTGTTACCAAATCAGAGAGTCAAACTAAAGCTAAAAGTTAACTCACCCTGCGTTCACTATTAGGTTATTTTCTTCAGTCATGTTTCCCTCAGCGCTCTCATAAAAACTAAAACATGACCGGACTTCAGAGTGACTGAAAAATCTCTGCAGCGCTGTCTTCCGCCGTGTTGTCATTGACCCAAACAAACTGACGTTTCATTGTGCGCATGCTGGCCTGCTTCTGGGAGACGCTGGACAGTGTTTGCCGTGAGATTATAACGGTTAACCTTACCCGGTTATGGTGGTAATTAAAATGTGTACGGTAATAATAACCGTCGGGAATTTTATAAAGGTTTACCGTTAAACCGGTAATCGTTTCATCCCTAATTAAAACAAAAGATGTAATCACATTTACTGTGGATTTCCTTCAGCTTAGTAGTACAGTGGAAATGTAAGTAAGTAATTTTCCTTATAAATTCTATTCATTTGTGAAAGTCACAGTATTGTTGAGTCGTAATTCAATTTAAGTACTGTGACTATTGTAATGATAATGCACGTTGACAAACATTAGCATAGACTTGATGTT